TAGAAATTAGTAGTATGGGCGAATAGTATAACATTGTAAACAGTTAAAATGTATTCGAGGCCAAAATGTAAGACAAGTAAAAGCCAATACAGGCGAACATACGAGTCCCACCACGCGTGATAAAAGTTCAGCAAGTCAGGGTCCGCTTGCCAGTAATCGAGCACTCAACACACAGAAGGGCAATTATCGTTAATTTTCGTTATTTGTCATACTTGTGCAGTAATGACTTTGTCCTATAAATACTGTAACTTCCTTTACATGTGTTACCCGCTTCTGTGACCGCTTTCTGCTCATGTCCTTGATGAAGAATCCGCAATGGATTTCGAAACGTCAGGCGAATAAAAGTGGTGTCCCAGCGATCTAATCTTCTTCACAAGTAAAAGCGATTTTTGCTGTTCAATGTAAATCACTGCCGAAGAGGATGAGATCACAAAGTGGTTGGCGGAAAAGAAGTTTTGTCGAAAAGTTGTAATTAGGAATCAGAATTTTTTTAAATAGCATCAGTTGTCGACATCTCGCTTTGTAGCGAGCCCCATAGTCGGATTACTCTGAGACCTAATCGAATGTGTTTGCGCCGATCTTGTAGCAGTGACTGCTTAGAGGAATTAGCGGGAAGCATGCTTAGTATTTAACGCAAAGTTTCCCTGGTACAAATTGGTATATTGCGCAGACTGCAAAATTTATTGGATCCATAACATTTCGGGAGCGCTCATCAGTTGCAGCCACTCCAATGCGCTAAAGAGTAAAAATTGAGAAAAATACGAAACTTACTTGGTAAAGAAAGGTCAACGTTCGTCGTCACTAAGGCTAATTGGTAAACTAAGAATGTTGAAACAAGGTGGAAGGAGAAAGAGGGGAAAATGAGTTACGGTAAAAAGGGCAAGGGACTGTGCAAATATGGGAGCCGGTGTTACCAAGGCAAGGCTAGGTTAACCACATGCTCCAACTGTTTAAATTGGTCTGGTTTAGAGCGTCTTATATAGGCTACCTACAGGTAGCGCAAGAAACGAGATATTCGTGCTCGAACAAGAACTCGAAATGAAGTTTTAGGGTCCACAGAATGACCCGTGTCCAGCAAGTGTTCCGTTGTGTAGGAACGAAGGGTTCGGCTTTCCTGTTTGAATAGCCAAATAGGCAAGTGTTCCTTGGCTCTGGTTGCCAATTGCTTTTGCGTTCGCCCTATGTACTTGCATCCGCAAGTGCATGTGAATTCATAAACACAATTGGAGTTGGCGTGCAATGGTAAGGCATCCTTCGGACAAGGAATTGGTAGGGGCTTAGATGGAGGGAAAAATATGAGCTCAGCGGCATAATAGGTTCTTTCCATTGCCTTGATCTTTCACCTTCCTGTACCAATTCAGTTTCTTATTTTTCTCATTCGTTACTCTTTAACGCTTTGGAGCGGCTGCAACCGATGAGCGCTTCCGAAATGTTATGGATCCAATAAATTTTACAGTTTGTGCAATATACCAGTAGGTGATAGAAGATGAAAGGGATAAAGTTCAGTTTAGGGTACCAAACAGCATACGAAATCTTCATCCGTAGGTAATAGGGGAAATATCGTAATTAGGTTTAAATGGATGAGACATATCAGGAGAAAGGAAAAATAATTTAAAAAGAGCGTACATAAGTAGAAAACGATAGGAATAATTATTTGAACAACCAAATAACCGTAATATTTGTGCGCGATAAGTAAAATGGCTGAATAGTGCCCAATTGGACACAATCGTCGACTGTTAACTATCTCACTAGAGTTGATATAGACAGGAGATATTATAGAGTTGATATAGAGGTAGCTCCTAAGCCGCAGTCATCGACTATGTTGGGCACTATTTGGGCATTTCACTTATCGCGCGCAAATAATCACTTATTTAAATAAGCTGTTTCGGACACCGAATTCAAATTTCACCAATGAAAGTAGTGGAGCCAAGTAGCATTTGCCCTGCATGCAAACTTTTTGACCATCAACACTTCTCTATCTCCTGCGATTTCTGTCACAGATGACGCAGAGCGTCAATCTCCGGGCCTGGCACATCGCTGTCTGGTGTCTCGACGGCATCTGGCATGCATTTGTGGTTGTTGGTGTGGGCTACTACGTCCTTGCTGGCGGTGGAAGCTATGCAGAGGCGAGATTTTACCTTCCTGGCACCTCCTATGCTACCATCGACATGGATCTCTTTGGTTCCGCAGTATATACTCTCCTAGTTGTGACAACTAACCTCCGAATGCTGGTTGCCTCAAGAACCTTCACCAAGGTCACAATCATTGGAACCCTGATTGTCGGATTTGCCAACATGGGAATTCTCTTTCTGTACCAGGTAATCTGTCAGTTATGTTTTGTCCCATTGGTCTGCTCAGTTATCCGAGAACTCTCATATTATTTCATACTCTAAGCGACATGCATGGGAAGTCCAGATGTCGGGGGTGCTACGAAACTTCTGTGCATTGACTTAAAAGAAGCACGCCGCCATCTGACACCGACTACATCTGGAATTGTTTATGACATTTACGAGCGCGTTGTCTTATATAGTTAACTGGAAATCATCCATTTTCAGGACCAAATTTTGTTTTAGTGACAGATTATTTTAAAATTATAATTAAAAGTTCTTCTGTGCATGATCTGGAATGGCATTATTATATTTATTATCATTATCATTTATAATTTTATGCCGCATCTTCGAAAAGTGCTGAACCTCCTCGATAAAGCTTGTAATGGCCGCCTATTTGCTCCCAGATGGCCATTAAAATCATTTGGCGCATTATACTGAATTTGAGAATTCCTTACTTTTCAACAAGCTCTTAAAGGTGGTAGCGAAATCACCATTCCATAACCACACTCGCTGTCATGTTTCCACTGTATTCTGGCGTAGGCAGGCAAAACTCTTGGAATGAACAACAATAAGCGAAGGTAGTTTAGGCGGTGGACATTATATACTCCAAGCCCCATAATTCTCTCGAACGGGACGGGGTTACTAGGCGTTTTTTGGGTGGGGAAAAAGGATAAACAGTGAAGAACATTTGTAGAAGTAAGTCTTAAGTATT